ATCCTGATTTAGATTTAGATTGTAACTTAAACTTTAAGCACAGTGATTACTAAAATCTACAATGATTACTAACCAACATGCATGTTGTCAGAAGAAATGAAATGAATTAAAGGCGTATAATAGGAGTGTACAATAGCAAATTAAGTAAAGCTAGATAAAAGCAAGACCACCCAACATTGTTCACCCTGTTGCCCACCCACTTTAACAATGGTATATTCCAATTGGGTGGTTTATGTCCTGGGTGGTTTATGTCCGTATACCATTAAAACAGTCTCTTTTTGCTTCTTTTTCCATTTGTGTTTTTATTGTTGTAATCTGTTTATTTGTCTTTGTTGTTTGTGTGACTGTACTAATGTGATGCTTCAGGTTCCTGAATAATGACTGATTTTATGCCTACCATTTTTTTCCATTTTTTTTCCTGAATTATTGAGGCTTGGCTTGCGCTTCATAGCCGCAAGGGAAAGGCGCAATATAAATACCCAATATCAGTACCAGTACAATTGTTAAAAATGAGATTGCTCAAGACTAAAATCATTAAAACTAATAAAATCATCCTCAGTACAATTAGAATATTGAATTAAATTATTTAGTCTTTTGATCATTTTTGTCAACCTTTGAATCTTAAATTAAAAACTCACCACTGGTACTTGATCCAACATTATGTTTCACATTAACATCTCCTGGTAATTCTCCTTTGAACATTTTAGTGGTTGGCTCATTTGCCAAGTCTTCCTCCACTGAAACTATATTGTTGAAACAGTGAAATACATTAACTGATATATAATTAAAATATAAATTTTTATATAACTGTTTTGATTATTATTGAGTAAAAAAATAATTTAAAAATATAAAATATATACATGTTAGCATTATAGCAGGCCATAAGAAATGCAAAACTCATAAGGCAGTTTCACTAAAATTGTCTATAATGAAGATGAAACATCCCGCGATTGTGATTCAAATCCTACCCCAGAGAAAACATTTAGTTTTACACAACCAGCAAATTTAAGTTCACAGAATATAATCTAAATTAAACAAGCAATGTTTTAAATTTGAAGGGAAATGATAAACTATCTTCCAGGATTTACTTCTTTGATGTTAGTTATTCGGAGGCAACATAAGCAATATGGGCTAATTAGTTGCTTATAATTGCGTGTGAAAGTTGACAATAAGCACTACTGGCGACTAGTTGAAATCTGGGAAGGGGGTGGTACAATTTTGGGAGTGCATGGTCCCCGACGAGAGCAAAGTGAGCGTGGTCAGACATCGATTAAAACGTTTCGAAAGTGGTCCAGTGGGGCAGAACCCACAAAAAATAACAATTTAGAGGTTTCAGAGGCTTATTTAATAGATTTTATAGATAGTCTACTAATATGTAGAAAATATAGTACATATAATTTTTTTTCTCCCCGACGAATAGTGGTTTTTCTTCTTTTTTTGGGAGGGGGGAGAAACTGGTGTCGGTAGTTTTTAAATATTTTAATCTCTCAGGTTATTCAAGGTTGCATATTGTTGATAACATTTTTTAGCCTTCTGTTGAACCTTTTCTAACATATCTCCGTCGTCTTAAACACGGACACCAAATTGAATTGTTTCAGATATTTCAATATTTTATTGTTTTCATGCTGACGGAGGTGGGAGGGGGCTTTTGTTACTTGGTGTTTGTTACTTGTTACTTCTATAAACAGAGGGTGAGCTCAGTGTTAAAAGATAGTGGTCAGTTGGTACTTCGAATAATTTTGAAAGAGCGCTACAAACGTTTTGCAACTTTTCACTATGTAACTTCCTGTGGCCTAGCCTGAGCAGTTGGCTAGTTGAAAATAGAGCACTGTGCAGCAAATAACGCTGCTGGACCTTTGCTATAGAAGCAGAAAACATCTCAAGAAACCAAAGTGTCATTTCAAATAGCATTATTTTAAGTTGATTTATTATTTATTAAAAATTAATTACAATGATGACAACACCAATAAGATTAATGTCCATGACACTGTCAATGTCATTGTTAATCACATATGTACAACTATGTCATCCAGGTTTGGTTCGCTGAATGTAAACATTGAACATTCAAAAGCATCACTAGAATTTCTATTTAAACTCACCAAGACCTGACGCAACACCTTGTTCCACACAACCATCTTCTGGTAATTCTCCTTTGAATTTTTTAGAAGTTGATTCTGTTGCCAAGTCGTTCTCTTCTGAAACCATATAATTCAAATGGTAAAGATTAACTAATATGATAATCTAAATCAATTAAATGTTACAAGATCAATCATGATCTTTATAATAAATTATTATAAATCACATTATATATCAATTCAGATATTTGGTTCCTGGTTTAATACCATCACTGCTCTCCTGGTTTCTTGCAAATTGTGGGCTAAATGCAAGTGGCAAATTGAGCAGTTTTGCAGAGGAGGGTTTAAGATGTTGATCCCATGTGTAATATTGCTTAAGTGCAAATAATACAATACACTCTTTAGCAAAAGAGCAGGGGATTGACTCCACAATTTCTTAAATATAGGCTGTGGTAGGCAATTTATTTAGGATGGTAAGGCAGACCATTAAGTCTTGGATATCAGTAATAATAAGGTGTTACTTTGCACTGCTGGCAGCAGCACCACTGAGTTTGTGGGGGCCAAATAATAATAATATAATAATATGTAATAGTAAAACTAGTAGCAATATATGGATGAGATAAAGTCTTAAATGAACAAGAATAAAATGGATATCGGTGTATACAAGTTGAGTGAACATAATCCAGTCTATAAAATATGAAATATAAAAAATGTATTATGATAACAGGGTACAAAAATCATAGGTATAATTATCAAATGAAAATATATAAAAATATATATATATATATAGAAATGAACTATATGTATATAAACATGAGATACATGTGTGAATAAATATAAGTGAATAAAGGTATAGAGTCGGATACTAAGATGAAGCATAATTAATTAGCAGAATCAGCATGGGGGAAGGTGTAGTCACTAATGATACCCAGGTCTTTATTAAGACCAAAAATGTGTGTTTTATATTTGAGTGATTTGAAATTGCAAGCAATGAGTGCACAGCGAATGTCGTTGATGTTGTGGTCAGGAGAGTTGAAATGTTCGGCCACAGGAAAGCCGTCTATGTTACCTTTGCGGATGCTTTGTTCGTATTTGTTGAATCTTAATCTAAATTTACAGCCGGTTTCCCTGATGTAGGTCCCTTGGTTACATTTGACACAAGTGAGAAGGTATATAATATTAGAAGAATCGCAAGTCAGGGCAGGATGATGAATGGTATGAGAGGAGTGGGGTAGTTTAATTTGTGTGTCAGTGATGAGTAGTTTGCAGATCATGCATCGTGGTTTGTTGCATTTAGAGTTGCCTCTTTTAGGTGGTGACAAGCGTGAGGATGTGAGGATCATTTTGAGGTTAGGGGGTTGACGGCTTGCGAGTAACGGCGGTTGGTCAAATACTGTAGGAGTCGGGTGGATTCATTGTGTTGAAGTGGGGCGAAGTCATTTCTAATAGTTCCTAGATAAGGACGTGATGGAGGGGTGAAAATCAAGGATGAGGGGAATGCGATTGCATGTGGGGCGGATTTTAGGAGATAAGAGGTCTTGTCGTGAACGTCTTGCTGCCTTAATTTGGGATTTAATGAGGTTAAGATGATAGCCACGACTGAGAAAAAATCCTGCTAAGTTGTTAACATGAAAATTGTAATCATTAATGTCTGAGCATATCCATTTGATTCGGAGGCATTGGCTAAATATTATAGACCTTTTCAGACCTAATGGATGTGAGCTGTGAAAGTTTAAGTATGCGTGACTGTCTGTGGATTTAGAGTACAAAGATGTGGAGATACGATTGTTATTGATGGTAACTGCTACATCCAGGAAAGGTATGGATGTATGAGAATATTCAGATGTAAACTTAATATGAGGGTGAAAGTTGTTCACATGATCCATAAATGTCTTAAGGTTGTATTCTCCGTGTGGCCAAATTATGAAAATGTCATCAATGTAACGTTGGTAGAACAGAGGTTAAAGAGGGAATGACGCAATGAGTTTGGATTCAAGAATGGACATAAAAATATTGGCATAATTCGGAGCCATTTTGGTTCCCATTGCAGTGCCCTTAATTTGGAGGTAGTGTTTATTATTGAAAGCGAAATTATTGTGCGTCAGGATAAAGTTAGTTATGGAGATTATGTCATTATTGTGTTCATGTGAAAACGAATGCTGGGGTAAAAATGTAGCAAGGGGCTTGGAGGCCTTCATCATGGGGAATATTGCTATACAAAGAGGATACGTCCAAAGTGACCAACAATGAATTGTTAGGAAAGATGGGGATATTTTCTTGTATGTTCAGAAAGTGTGCAGTGTCCTTGACGAAGCTAGGATTGAAGGTATGAGAGGCTGTAAAAGTGAGTCAATGTATCCTGATAAATGTTCGGTGAGTGTACCAATAGCCGATACAATTTGTCTACCAGGAGGGGTAATTTTGTGTGTCCTGACTAGGTTGAACAGTTTTATTTGGGTATATTTTATTGAGATAAAAAACATCGAAAACACAATCTTTGGCAGCATTAAGCTGAATTGTAGATTGGGTAATTACAATAAAATCTATAAAATTTGTGATAAGACTAATAAATGTACAGTATATAAAAATATGACACAGTCACAAAACACTAAAAATACAAAGAATAAAAAACAATTTTACATCACACTTTACTCCTGAGCTATATATAATATCCAGATTATTCAGACTGGGGGGTTCATCCGGCACAGGACCTCACAATGAATTGAGAATTCGTACCATGTAAGGTATCGGGCTATTTTTGTATCGGGATTTAGTACATTTGTATTCACTATATTGTTTTTTATTTCGTAATGACATATTATGTGTAGTATTGCTGTCTCTTATACACATCTAGATGTGTATAAGAGACAGGCCATATACTGTATGGTAGGTTCCTGCCTATCTTCCTTCCGTTGATAAGATTCCCCAAATTCAGCCATGGGAGGTATATAATAAATTGAAAAAGGTAAATCCAAATAAAGCCGGGGGCCGGATTGTATCCCACTTAGAATTTTAAGGGAATTTGCAGTTGAATTTAGTAATCCGTTTTCTTAATTGTTTCTTTAGAGAAGTCAGGCTGCCTGTCCAATGGAAAAAAGCCATTGTCGTACCCATCCCTAAAAATCAGCCACCAATTATTGACAGGTTGAGGCCTATTTCTCTTACCTCCGCGTTTGCAAAGGTGACTGAAGAGTTTGTATGTAACTGGATACTTAATGACATCAGTCAATGTATTGACATTAAACAGTATGCCAATGTGAAGGGAGCCTCCACCTGCTGTCTCTTATACACATCTAGATGTGTATAAGAGACAGGAACCACTGAGCTTCAATATGCTCAGGAACAATTATTCCTTCAATAGGTTTCACTTGTAGGCCATCCTTAAAAAATGTAAGGATTCCACCACCAGGTCTGTTACACCTCGGTTTGCTGTATGTAAAATAACCATGCACGTCATAAAGTTCAGGGGCAGTATCCGTTGTTATCCATGATTCCGTGACACAACAAATGTCGGGTCCAATTTCATTCATCATAATATTAAATTCATCTTGTTTATTCAGGATAGAACATGTGTTAGTTACAACTAATTTCGGCAAGAACGGTTGGTGCTTCCTAGGTTTCAATTCGCTAGGCCTCCCAGTCATCATCTCATCGTTACTATTTACCTCGATTTCATCGTTATTTTCATCTATTTTCACATCTATTAAATTACAATAATTGCGGCTCGAACATTTATTGGCTTCAAGGTAATCACCTGTAGCATTATTACGCTCATTAGACCTGTGCTTGTAGCAGCTTACAACCGGTATTTTTCTAATTATTTTTCGTCCACCACGTCTTCCCCTATAATGCCATGTCGAAATGCTAGGCTTGTAAACACAAGACGTCCAGCCAGGTGCAAACGTTGTTTCACCGGAGGGTTTCCCGTTACACATTGTTGGCCGCGTGGAGTTCAGGTTTCAACGTAGGCTAGCCGTAGTTGTACAAAAAAACACACCAAAATGTCTCAAAATCATAACAAACTGGAAAAATCACATAAATATATACACACTACTCAACAGCATTGACATGAAATAATCGTATACAACGGTTAGATAACGATGCGAGACGATAAAAAACTGAAACAAAAATTGAGACAGGCTACAGCTCTTAACAGCGCCTCGAACTCATGAATTAATGACCTCCTCGAACTCATTAATTAATGACAGTTTAACCTGTTTGGATGGAATACTAACACTAGCATTGGGGGAAAGTGAATTAAGTTTATCAGATAGAAGCTTGGGGAGTTTGTGGAGTTGGATGGTGTAGAAAGTGCTAGGGCGGGGGTTGAGGGGAATAAGGTCCTTAACTAAATCACTAGTGTTAGCAGATAACTCAGTACAAAGAGAAGTCAGTTCATTACAATAACGTACAGTGGGATCAGCATCAAGTAGCTTATAAAATTCATTGTTCGAAAGTTGAGTTTCTGCTTCTGCTACGTAGGCGGAAGTGTTCAATAGAGTGCTTTCGCAAAAGCAACGAACTGTGACCATCCTTGATACTCGTCCGTGTTCTGATCATTCGCAGTTTCGCAATTAAAGAACAAACGGTAGTGTGTGACATCGTTAAGCTGACACACGCCCTCTTTATTAGATATCCTAAAGAGCGCTTATTGGCTGCTTGGTATCTCTAAAGAGCGCTGATTGGCTGCGTGAGCTAGTTGTTCGTGATTCTCCACGGACGATAAATTGGCCAAAAACAGGTCGTGATTTTGCCAAGAACGAGAAGCTGCAGGGGCCGTGCATGCGCAGATCAATTTTCGTGTCAGATTACCGTCCTTGTGTCTGTCCGTCGTATTATAGTGGTTGCGCCGCCTTTATCTGCTTGCTTGATGGTGATGTTTTGATTTTTGTTGAGTTCCTCAATTGCTATTTGTTAAGTTTTTAAAAGTCAAGTTGTCTTTGGTTGTCTCTCCCGTGTTTTTATTGATGAAGGCATTGAGATGGCTTTTAGCCGTGTTCACAAATGACTCGATAAATGGGTTCTTACTCACAGTAGGCATCCATTGGCGGGTGAGACTGGCGGGCTTGTATGGTTGAGGATTGACGTAGTCGTTTGTACCATTGTCGTTGTTGTTAAAATGTTCTATGAGACGGATTTTCCGGGTGAATTGGTGATTGGATCTCAAGTAGGCCTTAATTAAGTAAAAATATTGCAGAATGCTGCTTAAACTTACCCTTTTCTGATTTCATAAGCTGTGTTTCTTGTTCTTTATCACTATCTTCTGACAATTCCTGAGACATTTTGTCAACCACTGTATAATAAATAATAAATAAGTCATAGTTATTTATGACTGTTTAATGACAACACAGTATCAACAACACAGTATCAACAAGTAGAAACATATACTGCTACCATATACAGTACCATCCAGAATACGCTTATAATGAAAGAAAATATTTAAAGATGTATTGTCAAACGAAAAATACCATCTATCACCATAAAATAATTTTTGAAATTAACTTCAATAAACTTGTATCAAAAAATTTGCCAAATTAAACATGGAAATTAATGAATTTAAAAAAATGTTTACCCATAATTTTACAGCGAAACATAGAAACACTTCCTCTCCCCCCCCCCCAACAAAAAAGCTGAATGGTGCCTTTCCTTGATTATTATGCACCATGTAATGGTCTATTCATAATCTTCTTAACAGACTGATAGAGACAGCAGTGAATACTAAACCTCCACAACAGAATAACGACAACAATGTGAATGTCGAAAAAAAAATGATGGTAATGCAAATATTCATGACACTACTAAAGACATCAATAGAAATTTTAATGTTCAAGGCATTGACAACCAATACTTAGTGATACACCATATAAATGCTAAATAAGTGTTAAATTAATAAATAAAATAATGGAATATAAAACATAATGAATAACTGCCATGCAGAAATATGTCTTCACCATCAGCATGATGAGGCAACAAAGAGAAGCTAATACTAACCAATTCCAATTTGTAAAAATTATAATGTTCAAGTCTATTTACAGCTCCTTTAAAGCCCATTTCCAGTAAAATTTTAAAGTAAAGTTTTTGTTTTTTTTAAAGTTTACCTTCTGGAACTACTTTCAGAGCATGATGGAGTTGAAGTGCACTCAACTTGTCAATGAATTTCTTCATTTTTCCTTCACAAATTGTCCCTCTCTTCTCCAAGTCCTGAATCAAATGCCAACTGTCTTCATATTTCACTGTTGGCATGTTGTATGCATCACCAATTTTTTCCACATCACCTGGAATCAGTACCATTCCTAGCTTCACAATACTTTGCCTATGCAATTTGAATTTTGATATTTCAAAATTCCTAACATTCTGGAATAATGGAAGCAGTTTCTTATTCTTTGGTCTGAATCCATATTGTTTAGTTATGTTTATGGTGTCATACAGAATACCAAGATCAGTTGGACTCAGATTCCCAGAATCATGCAAGATGCTTAGCAAGTCAAACGCCTGAGTAGCACATTGTAGATCACTATCAGTCATATAATCTCTGTACAATACTTTGAGCATACCAATGGACACAAATTCATCATACCAGTTTGATATTTCCAAGAACAGCAAATGGTAATCTTCATCAGGGATTCCTAGAAGTAATGTAATAACAAACATATAATACCTAAATATTACACAGTCTTAATAATGTTTTAAACAATGATGATTGCAGACACAGTTGGAGAACTGCTTTGGATTTAAACTGGAATAGACTGTAATTTTATTTTCATTCATTAAGTTACAAATCCTTAAAGTTTACCTTCTAGAAGTGCTTTCACAAGATGATGGAATTGAAGTGCACTCAACTTGCCAATGAATTTCTTCATTTTTCCTTCACAAATTACCCCTCTGTGCTCCAGGTCCTGAATCAAATGCCAGCTGTCTTCATAGTTCTTTGGTGGCAAGTTATATACACCATCAAGTTTTGCTACATCATTTTGAGTCAATGCTATTCCTAGTTTTACAAGCTTTTGCCTGTGTAAACTGAATTTTGATATTTCAAAATTCCTGACATTCTGGAATAATGGAAGTAGTTTCATAATGTTTGGTTGGTATGCATATTGTCCAGTTATATTTATGGTGTCATACAGAACACTAAAATCAGTTGGACTTAGATTGCCAGACGCATACAAGTATTTCAGCAAGTCATGCATCTTAGTAGCTTTATGTAATGTATTAGCATCAGTCACAAGGTCTTTGTACAATACTTGCAGCATACTGATGGACGCTGGGACCATTTTATCATAAAAAACTGATATATCCAGCAACAGCAATTGGTAATTATCATAAGAGATTCCTGGAAGTAATGTAATAATAGATTAATACATAAAACATAAAATACCAACATTTTACACAGTCTTAATAACATCTTAAACAATGATGGTACTATTGAGAAACAATTGATGAGACTATGATGAGGGCAGCACAAGATACAAGATATATTTTATTATCTTTTTTTTTATAAGAAAAGAAACTTGCTGTTTATGAGGTACAGCCCGATGCATTTATGCCAGCCCAGTAGCTAGACTCACTAATCAGAGGGTGGGACATTACAATTTTTGCAGGGTGTCAGTACTAGAAGAGCCATGCCCACCTCAGTCTCACCACTGTTAATGCATAATGGTACTACATAAAGAAAAGTGCTAGGCCTCTGGAAATCCCCAATGACAGTTACCAGAAATCGAAAGGTCCACTGATTAATCTCAAATAAGATAGTATAATACATATACTATCAATATTTCGACATTAATTACGTCATCATCAGGAAGTTACCCAAATTCAGTTGAACTAGCAATTCCGTATTATATTTATAAATCTTTATAACATATAAAAATTAGATTTTTCTAAGAGCTGAAACATTTCTGGGTATGGGGTTTCAAATATACTTTAGATAACAATGTGTGTCTTATATACTCAACTCAATTGAAAACAACTAAACACAATCCCCGTTTTTTACCGACACCTTTGAATGTACCCCTTTTTTTTACAAAATTATGTTCTCCAGGACTACGACACTATAAAAGTCATTACACTGCATTTGTTGGTAGAATTTGAAGAACAACCCCAGAATGTTACTTTATCAAGTAAGTGTTTTCCGTTTTAAAATATCGTTTAAGTAATCCATAATGGTAACTACGTAGAGCAAAATGCTATTCCTCTGGAAGTCCTCCAATTGATAGTTACTTGGCAAAATGGTGTATTATGAATTCTGAAATGTTAGCTGTGAAGATATATTTGATTATAGTGTCATATTTCCTACAAAAGTTGAATTTTTTAAATATTAAAAAAAAACCCCATTAAAATATTTTAAACTCACCATGACCTGATCTAATATCACATTCTTCATCCTGATTGTTTGGCAATGTTTTAGATGTTGCTTTAACAGTTGCAGTAGATGTGTATAAGAGACAGCCAACCCCCCACCCCCAGAAAAATTGGTGATTTAATCATCAGAACAGCTTTGTCTTTCTGATGACCACTTGTCTTTTTAAAAGGCAGCTAAAAATTATAATAAAAAGCACTCGCAGTATGGAATTTTTCCTAAAATGTCCATAATGTGCCTAAATTCACTTCAATCAATTAAAAACAATCGTATCTCTGAAATCTTTACACTGTGTTTTATGTTTTTTATCACCATCTTTTGACAATTCCTCAGATATTTTCTCCACTATGGTATAACAATAAATAATAATAGGTTTATTTATGTATAGACTGTATAAGATGTGTATAAGAGACAGTATATATACAGTGTAACAAGTTTATGTAGTCATCACTAGAAATCCATGTCATAACTGCCATATCATATCACTTAAAATCTTTATTTTTTCCAAATAAAAAGGATCTTGGTAAACTCAGGAAATTTTTGTTTCTTTGAGAAAGAAATTGGTCTATAAATATTTAATCATCCAATTTGAATGCAACTCTACGGAAGCCTGTTAGTGCCACAAGTGAAATTGAATTTCAGAGCTGTTTAATTATCTAGCGGCCGCCACTTAATTATCTGGTGGCTGCTAAATAATTATTTAGCGGCCGCTACTAACATGCTTTTAATCGCTATTTAATGATTGTTATATTTTTTGAAATGGGTGCTATAAGACTGCCATTATAGCTGGTGACCAGGTACTAGTATGCTTTTAATCACTATTTAATGCCCTTTAACGTTTAACCCAGCTATAACAGACAATATCACAATGATTAAACAGCAAATATAGAACATACAAGACAGTTTATGTGCTACAGCATAGACATTGATATATTTTGTGAAATGCTGGGCTATATGACTGCTATTATAAGCTATTGCAAGCTGTAGCTAATGACCAGCTAGGCCTACTCGGGGCCTACTACGATGATTTTAAACACTATTTAATGCTAGGACCAATCCTGCGATTTAGTGGCCCATTCTGCATCGAGTATAATCATGTGGCGGGCGCCGGATACTCATGTGGCGGCCGCCAGATAATTATGCGGCAGCCACCACTTATTATCTGGCGGCCGCAGTTAATATCTAATATAAAATTTTAATGTAATTTCCTCGTTTCTTTTTAACCAACCCCCCACCCCCAGAAAAATTGGTGATTTAATCATCAGAACAGCTTTGTCTTTCTGATGACCACTTGTCTTTTTAAAAGGCAGCTAAAAATTATAATAAAAAGCACTCGCAGTATGGAATTTTTCCTAAAATGTCCATAATGTGCCTAAATTCACTTCAATCAATTAAAAACAATCGTATCTCTGAAATCTTTACACTGTGTTTTATGTTTTTTATCACCATCTTTTGACAATTCCTCAGATATTTTCTCCACTATGGTATAACAATAAATAATAATAGGTTTATTTATGTATAGACTGTATAGTGCTTGACCAAAAACAAAAATTAATAATAAAAAAGTGAGATGAACAGCAAAAGAGAAATGACAGGATGAAGTTAATGCCACTTTTTACCACTGTTTACAGTGAAATAAAGAGGTTCTACAATTGTTGTACAATATCAACACTGATAATACCTTCTGTTAAAGCACTGGCAGCTTGCAGAAGATTACTTCCCTTTAGATTGTCAATGAATGCCTCCATCTTTCCATCACAAATTATCATACGGTGTTCTAGATCCATAATCAAACTCCATGAATCCACATATTCTTTTACTGGCTTATTGTATAGTTCATTGATCACTGCTATATCCTCATTTGTCAGTGCCATTCCAAGCTTTATAACCTTTTGTCTGTGAGATGTGAATTTTGAGATTTTTACATTTCTAACATTTGGGCATGATGGTATCTGTGGTTTAACTTTGTTTTCCAAACCAAATGTCTTTGTTGCCTTTATGGTATCAAAAAATAAAGATATATCTGTTGAGTCCAGTTCTCCACAAGCAATCAACAAATTCATTATGTCCAATGTCCTTGAAGCATGGCTTAAAAGAGGAATTTTTTTCAGATGGTCCCAGTACAGAACTTTCAGCATACTGATGTATCCATACTTGTCATACCAATTCGAAATAACTAACAGCAGCTGTTGAAAAGCATCATCAGCCATTCCTAAAAAGTAAACAATAAGGTATCAATATAAACTATATTACACTACAGTAATAAGAATCTTTACACATTACATGGAAAATTAAAACTGACATATTTCCAAGCAGTAGGGAAATTACTAAGGAATCCCTCTTTGATATATAAAACAGTTCACAAAGTTGTAACACAGCTTTTAAAATAAACTTTTATTGTAACATCCAACAAGAATCTAGTCATAAAACAACACAATGAACTTTGGTCTTAAAAAGCTTCAGAAAGAACAACCTATCATTTTATTGTGGGATTCAAACTTCTGGATGTAAAATATGCATCCTGTGCGCTACACCTGTATGGTAATTAGTTCTGGGTTGGGTGCGGCATGTTTGAATGCTGGAATCCATCAGTTGACAATAGTACGTTGGTGCGGTTAGTTGTGTGTTTGATGCCATAGAATGGTTAACTGAGTTAAGGTAGGCATATATTTTGTTCTGTAATGAATTTGTTTCATCATGTAATTAATTGGTAATAGTGTAGTATTTAACAATAATTAAATAATCCAAAAATATATATGTTGATGTTAATAATTATATTTGTTATAGCCGATGAAGTAATAAAAAGTAATAAAAACTATTCCAATGTTCATGGTTGTGGCACTGCATTATTATTGGCAATTACCTGTGTTAATTAGTCACTGTTGTATTGAGTATTTTATGTTTATTGGATAATACAGTATAGAACCCATATTTAGTTGGTAATTCGTTGTTTAATTTCGTAGCATTATGAAGTACAATTTTCTATTATTGTGAGGACTGGGATTGAAAGATTGAGTACTGTGTCATTTGCATTGTTAGGCTTATTGTCAACCTGTAAGTCAAGATGGCCGAATATATATTAAATTGCGGTATTGTATGTAAAATTGATAATTGTGACTCATATGACTATTACATCTTTGATAATGTGTTGGTTTAAAGAGAAAATATGCTTACCATAATGCTAATCCTATATACATGCATAACTGTTAATTGCTATAATTATTATGTCTATTTGCTATTTGTATAATGTTAAATACCTTCAATGATGGTTAGTCCCATTGGATTATGTATTTATTTGTGATTCAGCTTTAGTATGTTGATACGGTGAGACTGATAATTGATGTGTTGTTTTGCAGGGTTATGATTGCCATTTACTTGTTGGGGTTTTCGTTTTCCTCTTGTTGGACAACTTTGATGTTTTCACTGTTGAGTGCTCAATAAATGAAGTTGAACTGTTCTGCAGTCGTTTTTGTGTTCTTGTTTTGAGAGTGATGACTAGCAGTGTGCGACATTATTATACACAAACCCTACAATTCCAGATCATTCTACATAATTACCTAACTTTCTCTTTTAGTCACATTACATCATAAATTCCACAGCCACTTCAAGACATGAGACACCTGCGCTCCCTATTTTACTGAAAATTCTTATGAACTACCATTTACCAAAATCGCACTGTGCTCTAAAAGACAACAGGAAAAAGGCCACTCAATAGTGGCCTGAGAGGGTGCAATATCGACTGGTTCCCGATGGCAAAAATTGTTCCGTCCGCGATCTTGTGGCTGTACCAAGGTACAGTAGACTTGGCAAGAGCTTACCGGCTAATAGCACCCAGTTTCTGTTAAAATTCCCGCTAACATCGTGCGGAAAGTCGTGTGACTTTCACACAGGCCAGGAACATTAAATATTATTGTTATTTCCCACACTTGTGCTACAAATTCCTCGCAAGTATACCCTATAAATGCTGCAACTCCCCCCCCCCATATTTCCCACACTTGTGCTACCAAGTCCTCGAAAATATACCCCGTAAATGCGGCACCTCCCCGTATAGTAATATTTAAGAGTGAGGCCCCAAGACTATAAACCATTTTATTGGGATTATTTTGTAACAGCGCCGCCAACGTCTCAACTCACTGGGGGACTTCCAGCAAACTAGTTTGAACAGCTGGCCAGTTACAAATAGAGCACCGCGGAGGGGATCCCACCGCTAGACCTTTGCTATAGCAGCAGTAGACAACACATATGATCATGCTACTTACTGTACATGTAAACACTGAAAAAGCTTTATAAGACTTATGCCCGTATTCTTAAGATGAACTTTAGTCAAACTTCGAACTAGAACTTCATTTAGTCTTAGTTTCAACTTTAACTTTGATTTCTATTCACAAACAACGTAGTCGAAGTTTTAACTACGACTAAATCAAGTCCGCTGAAGACTGCTGGCATGCAACTATCAAACTAACCAATGAAAAGACCTAATATTAATAGCAGACTAAAATTTATAAATCCGGTAACACAGATGAATATCAATCTGCCGTCTGTCTTTAAACGAGAGCATCAATGATGCAATAGCCCACTTGACAATAGCTGGCAATATTTAAGTGCTGCTGGTGAGTGGAGGTTGTGTGGAGTGTATTGAGCATTAAAAAAAATGTTTAAAGTTATAGTAGTTGTATACATCATCATAGACCTTTTTTGTTATGTTCACTTAACAGTTAGGAAAGGTGTGATGTCGTGTACAGTGATATGAAAGGAAATATGGTTGTTGTAGGGGTTGTTGTGTACCTAAGAAATATATTTTTCCAAAGGCACATTATAATTACGTATATCATTTGTCATCATATATACATACATACATATATATATACATACATACATATACATACATACATATATACACATATACATATACATACATACATATATATATATATATATATATATATATATACATATATATATACATACATATATATACATATACATACATACACATACATATATATATACATATACATACATACACATACATATATATATACATACATA